AAGAGGGAAAATTGACCAATACCAAATCAGATTGACTTAGAAATTCCCCCTTCTCATCCCCAAGCCGGCTCTAGGCTTGCAGTTTGCTCGGGAAAAGGTTTTATATGGATATTTCTGCAGGGAGCGGTTCCCTCTCGGGCTACCAGCGGGCTCCGAGAGGAAAGAAGCTGAATTTTCTTCTTCTGAAGACAAGTGTGGGTTTGCCTGGTTCCCCTTCCCTTTCTCTGCCGCTTGAAGACAAACCCTGGGAGAAATTCAGTGTATTTACTTCTTTATTTTTATTCCGGCTGGAAAAGAAGAGAGAAACAGATTCATCTCCGAGTCCATGGGGAAAAAAAAATTATCCTCGTGGTGGCCAGCTCTCCTGCTTTGCCAAACTGCAAGTTGTTTCTCATTACCTTATCTCCAGCACTTTAGCTGCTGGTTTTGAAGGCAGTTTTCTACCCTTTCTCCTTTAAATTAGCCATTTTCTTTATTGCCGCTCTCCCCTTTCAAAAATAAACCCCGGGAATTTAGGGCTGAACACAGATTTGCAGGTGAACGCGTGTTTGCAGCCGGAGATCTTGAGGTTGTCAATCTATTGCGGTTGTTAAAAAGCTAATTTGGCTTGCAGATATTCAAGGCAAAGTCTCAAAAAGAGGGATTTCTGCCCCAAACGTGTGAAGGGAACTTTTGCCCTGAAAATACCGATGTCTCCGTGGCCAAACACCTAGAGAGCACGTTCGTGCACATCTAACGGGGCTCAAAGTCGAGCTCTGCTTCTCCAGGCCAGGGAAATCTCACCCCAAGTAAAATGCAATTTTATAATAAAATCCCTTTTTATTATCCACATATCCAGGAGGAAAAAAAAAAAAAAAAAAAAAAAGAAAAAGGCTGGATGAGAATAAAGAAAAAAGGCAAATCCTTTATTTCAGTTAGGGGATAGCTGAAAATTCACCGCAAATCTGCGGCACGTGGGGACTTTTCTTTTCCTTTTCAAATTTTCCCTTTTTTAAGCTTATTTTTCCCCCTTTCCCTCCATCCTTGTTGTCTGAAAGATTTCGAAATCCCCCCTCGACACACCATTTTCTGGAGGAAAACCGCCTTGCTGTTTCTTCCCACCTCCAGACATCTCCCATACAAAGGAAAACGGCCAAGGTATGAGTTTTATTGAAGGAAAATCGGCTCCAGCCGCTCGCAGCCTCTCGACCACGATGCACCCGCCCAGATTGGGGGGGGGGGGGGGAAATAAAGGAGGGGAATTTTAACTTTGGAGCCCGCAGGGAAATTAGAGCCCGTGGTATGAGAAAGCCTGAGATCAACATACGATTTTCCCACTGGAGTACCAATTTAGTGAAGAAACTATTCCACTAAATCTCATATTCTTGCAGAGGAATCCAAGGAAAGCTTTCCCAGGCTTTGTTCAAAATGTGCTTTGGATAAATAAAAGCCAAAGCCGACTTCTTTTCCCAAACTTTTTTTTTTTTTTTGAGAGAGAAAAATAAATCCTACCATCCCTGGTTCAGCTCTTTGCTGAATTAATACAGCCAGGGAGGCTGGAGGCTGCGGCCAAGCCTTAGCAGCATTCTTGCAAAAGCAATGCCCGAAATAGAGCAGGAAAAGATTGAATACAGTCTTCTCTGCCTTGACGCATTGCACCCAAAAAGGGACAAAAAAAAAAAACCAAACCCACCCCAAAAAAAGGGGAGGGGAA